TAGGATCAGTTAAATTGGAAGGAGTAGCTAAATTGGAAATCACTGTTCTGACAGTAGAAAAGAGCATGCTTTAGAGATTCAGACATAGCAAAAAAACTGAACTGTGAATAAAGAGCAAAGTCACCTTGGCGTGTAGCCCAAGTCTCAGAGAAATGGCCTTCATGATAGTTCATGGTTGTAATGCTCTGAAACATGGTGTACGAAAACTGCAACATATACTTGACACTGACAATTAAGTGTTGCTCACATAGTTATACAGTGCTATTTACATTCAGAGGGGTCCATAACCTTCACTTTTTCTCAACAGCAGAATGCTTTCTTCACTGAATATTCTTTAATTAGTAGTGTCTCTATAAAGGAAATTGTTGTTCCTTAGTTGTCTGTATTAGACGATATTTGTGTTTGTAAATCATTCCACTCTCACCCTCTACTTTATTGACAAATTATGGAAACTATTACAATTTGCTATTTCTTTTTATTCCAAGTAAGATTCAACAGCAATATTTACACAGCCTGTATAACCAGCTGGATACCTGTCTTCCATTTACCTTTTATTCACATCAAGACACATCACTTTGTACCCAGGCCTCACAGAACAAGTGAAAGCACTCCCTAAATGCAGAGAGGAAATTTAAATGCAGACTTAGATGTTCCCATTTCTTTCTACAACTGTCTTCTCTGTACATGGAAACAGGGCATTTTACAAAGTGTATTTACAAAAATTTTGTCATTCAGACACAACAGTACATGCTAATGGTTTCTCACATTCACCCTTATAGACTGTTCCCAGTGAAATACAATAGAGAGGGGGAAAAAAATCTTTTATTTTAATTTCTGTGGTATATAATTATTATTATAATTATATAATTATAATTATTAGAGCAAGAAAGAAATCCCATGCCTGCCATGCATTGACCCTTCACATCATTTCAATCTATGACAAACATTCAGTCCTTTGTGCTCTTGAGCAAGCCTATGTGTTCATCACTAAGCCTAAGCACTTTATACAAAAGGCTTAGCTATAAATAGATCTAGGTCTGAGCCATTGCTCATAAAGATACCACTTCTATTTGTTCTTAATTCTTGCTTGGAGCTTTATCATCATAGTCTATGAGCTGCCACATTATTTAGAACTGGTGTACAATTTGATTTGTTCTATATGTTTTCCACTACACCAATAGCTCCAGGATATAATTTTCAATTTACATTTAAGGAACTACTGAATCAAAGGTTTCCAATACTTCCATTGTATAGTTTCTATTAATAAATAAGAAATAATGCTGGCTGATATGATAATCAAGTTAATTTTGGCCTACTAACAGATTGCATAACCTGACCCAGAGAAAGTTTCATAATCAGTTATATAATTTGACCTGATTCAGGCTGTTCAAAATTTTGACATAATCAATAGTTCTTCCTGGGAAGCTTGGTCCTATAAATTTCATTACCTTTTGTGCAATAAATTGCAGAAAATTACTCAACATCAACGAAATAATCAACTGGAATGTGAAGATTAATCATATCACGAGACCACTTGATTGTACTTAGTCTGATAGCCAATACAGTTAGGTGCAGGATAATTAAGTTATTCAAATCAGAGGAGCTTTTACATCTTTTTCCCCCATTGTCTTGCACTTCAGTATGTTTCCACGCTCTCCAGTTTAGATGTACATTGCTTAAAACAAAAAAATAAACTAACTCAGCTCTCCTGGAGAAAAATGCCACACAAATATTTGAGGAAAGGAAAAAGATGTAGATTTAAAAGACTTCCTCTCTCCTCTACACCAGTGTGTCCAGCTCAAAGAAGAAATGCAAACGAGGTCTAGCTATAATTTCCTAAATATCCAAACAATGATCCTACCACTAAGCCCGGTAATTAAAAAGAAGACGCAGAGAGGGGAAGAGATACTACTAAGTAAGCAACACCAGTAGTTGTGAGCAAGAAGCTGTTCAGAGAAAACCAGAAAATAACAGATGGTGAAAATGCTGCAAGCCTGAGCCATGGAGAGTTGTGGCCATGTCAGCTGTCAAAGTCAGGCAAATGAGAAATAAGAAGCAAAAAGAAAAGAGTGTTCATTTTCCTGTCTAGTTTAAGAACACAAGGGCACATCCAGCAAGATATTTTGAAAGACAAAAGTAAAAAATTTAATCATGCTACTACTGACCTGAAACCAGTCTGAACAAGTTACCTGGGGCAACTGCTTTAACATTTTCCACTGCCAGTCTTTGTACTTTCCAGAACTACTCGGTTTTCACATTGTGATTTACATTTTTTTCTATTATTTCTTCTAGAATTTGATCTTCTTTTCTGTAAAGATACTTTTACTCCATCTTCCTAGTACATGCAGTCTCTCATGTAGCTTAGTTTTAGTCTCTTTTCATAGTTATTCCTTTTGTTGATTTTGATTTATTTCACTGCAAATAGTATGAAATGTTCATATGTCTTTTCAGCTTCTCCTTTCTAATAGACAAAGAATCTTAACAAGAATAACAAGTATAACTCTGCTCAAAATCTTTGAACACAGTGAATCATTCAGGAAATTCTGTGAATTCATTTCTTTTCTGGAAGTATTTACACCAAATTAAATAGGGGTCATTTGTGAACCTTTGCAGTATACATACACTACCATAATGACCATTTCATACAATAAAGCAAGGAGATGTCTACTTTCTATTCTTATTTCTCCTTTATTTCTCTCTCATAGTTATGTATTGTTTAATATTTTCTTCTTTTTCTTTTTCTATTTTTTTTTTTTTTCAGAAACATTTCCCCTAAAACTCAGGCCACCTAAGATAACTAGCAGCAAGGGAAGGGTTACTTCAGATGTTTCTATTATTCTTAGAACAGCATTAACCAAAGTAGCATAAGCTTTCTGCCTTCTACCCAAGCAACTCCATCCATGTTAGATACTGCAGACTGCCAAGAATCCATGAAATAGCTGATATCAACCTTGAGAGAAAAAAAAAAAAAAACTTTCTTAAGTGCAGAATGGGACAGTAGTAGCTAAAATCTGAGTTAGTTCATTTAAAATCTGTATTACATGTATCATCAACTCAAACAGCATCACACAGTTATATATTAGGTTCTACAGTGGCAGTATCATCAGTATGTTACTCACCAGTCACAGGCAAAAGATGTTACTTTTATAATTTTTTTTTTTTTCAGCAATATACCTTTAGCACTTTTTGTAACAGAGAGATATTTGTCAAAAGAATTCTCTCAAGACATATTCATGAAAGCCATATGAGTGAAAAGAAATGCCCCTTACTGGTTTATCAGAATTAGGGGAGCATGACTGCTTGTTAGTGAATGAAGGACATTTGGTCTCACTTTGAATGCCTTGTATCCATTTTAATCCTTTCCTAACTGTATTCCTTTGAAATGGAGTAGACATAAATCATTCTTGATGCCACAGAGCTCTATCTGCATTTATTCTAGACAGCACAGAAAGTGTTTAGAAAAGGAGTTTATAGGGATGTGCAATCATAGTGGTCACACAGCCACTTCAGTATCTGCCTTGGACATGATCCTGCTGAGTAACCCTTCATCAACCTAGCACTTTTTGTTCTTATTACACTAGAAATGAGATTTGGAACCTGAATACATATTTTGGTTATGCTGTCTTTGCAAAGTAGTTTTGTGTCTGAAGACATTATAGGTAAAGCACGTCACACAGCACTGTCAACTTTCAGGATTGTCTTCATCTTCTGTACTGACTTTAGTTTGGCATTTAAAAAAAAAAAAAGGAAAGAAGAAGAAAGCGAAAGAACCTAGGAAATTAATTCATAAAGGTTTTTTTACAATGGTTTTCAGTATTAGGGGTTATTTTGTTCCTAACAAAGATTCATGTATAACAAAGGTATAATTACATGTGCAATTGAGCATACAAAGAAGTATTTAACTAATGGTCACAGGTGCATATTTGGTTAATATATATTTATTTTTAGAATAATATAAAAATTACACAGAGCCCTTACAATTCAGCTCCTACTCACAACATTTAATTAACTCCCAGTAATCAACTATATTTATTCTAAGAGACTCCACCATTTTACCAGTGGCACTAATGCTCTTCCTGTGTCCCATCATTAACTCATGTTTTGTTGCTGCCAAACCTGATGCAACTGTTAGAGCTCCAGTCATAGGTCTTCAAGCTCTCTAATAATCTTCAAGCAAGAGAGCTAACTATTGTTTAAAACACAGCTAGAGTTCACTGTCCAGATGTGCGCACCTTTGTTTTAAGACATATACCTGAGGGAAGCCAGAGCGGGGAAAGTGGGGGGAGGAACAGCTTCAACTGCCTTCTTACATTAAGGAGCTTAATGGCTTCTTATAACTAACCACATAGATGTTTACAATGCCCTTCAGTCTGAAAGAACTTTTACTAAATCAGGAATAATATGATACAAAATGTTTTGAAATGCTTTCCACTGAAAGTTGTTTGAAATGAAAGGGAAGAGTTATGAGCGTAAATGATATTTAGGTCAACTCTGCAAAGGAACTGAAATCCAGCCTTTTAAGTTATGTTCACTGGTTTCTTAATGTAAGCCTTTGTTCCCTCTATTAGCACATACAAAGTGAAGTTTTCAGCATAAACCCAGACTGCAAGCAGCACTGCTTAGTAGGGCCTCATGCTCCCAGATTCTTCAACTCACTTTGAAAATCCCACTCTCATTTACACTCTCAAAAGTTGGAATATTTATTTTGCTATTGCTAGGAATTAAATACCTAGCAATGTTTCCAGATGCAGATATGACTTCTGATGAACCAAAACCAATTAAGAGATTAAAAATAGAGATACAAATTTAGATGGTGCTTGACTAGTTTATCTTTTGTGACTACACTCTATTTTCTGGGGCTACTGATCATGATGGTTCAAAAACGTAAGAGCTTATCACCAGCTTCTATATCTTTGAATATTCCCTGAGTTTATCCCCATCTTACAGGGACTGGTTTCATGTTAGTTCTGAACTTTGGCACTCCTTTCCTCTAATTGCAGGATGAAGGGAAGTGCAGACCCCTGGAAGTTACAAAGCTGGAAGGAGCGGAAATTGGTGTTGACACCAGTCTGGGTAAACCATTTGTTTTTAAATGCGTACCTCAAACTGGAAACAGGATTTTCTACTTCTGTGCAACTTCCAACCAAGAAATGAAGAGGTAAGTGATCTTCCATTTTACAAGGTCAGTAGTGTTATTCCAGTTTAGAGAGGGAGTCTGAATTTTTGGAGGATGTTCACAATACCTGCCTTGATCAGTAGGAAGAAAAAAAAAAGACAGCTACTTATGGGAAGATGGTGTTCCTTATTTTCATTTACAGAAGTTTCAAAAATTATTTTTCAGCTTTTTTTTAATGAGAATTTTTTTCATAAAGTCTTCAGTGATCATTCTTTGCTCAAGATTCCCCTGAATTCTTTATGTATCTCCAGAAAATAATCTTCACCCATATTCTCATGCCTTGTCCCACATGGTTATATCAAATGGAAGTGTAAATCTTCCTGTGGATGTAAACTTGCTTATTGGTCATTTCACATAAATGATTTCTTTTCTGCCCAGCAAGGACAGTGCTAGTAATAATAAATATAATCCCATTTTCCATTTCCTTTACTGTCATTCTGTTATATTATCATTTTAGTATTTTAAAATGCAAGTATGCCACAAAGGCATACTGGTTGTGATAAGAGGCAATGAGTTTGCGTTTGACTCAGAGTTAAATTTTTAAAATATTATTCTTGCATTTCCCAAAGACTATAGCTGACAAAACAGACTAAAATCAACCAAAATGCAAGTAAAAACTCCTTCGACTTTAATTTCAAAATGTACTAAAATATAATCTTATTTTCCTTTTTGTTTTATTGTGAATGATCAGAATAGAAAGCTGTGAAGTGGGGTGACATTGGGTATTCATCCACTCATTTTTGTATGACATCTTATCACATAGCATAGCAGCAACATTTGTAATACCAGAGCATTTTCCACTTCTAAATTCTATATCATACATAGTGCATAAAATATTGCCAACTAATAACTTGCTTTATTCTGTAGTCTCCAATTTCAGGACTCTTTATATTTCCTACAAATTCCTTATCTACATTATAACAAAGACACAAGAAGAGTGATCATTTAACCTGACATGTTGAACCATATTCAAAATATATAGATTCTCTTGTTTGCAATATTATCTGAACTTGTTACAGTGTGTAACAAAGCAAGCTTCGAAACATTTTTCTGAGTTAGCAGTGTTTATTTAGATTTAATCCACTACTTTTCTATTTTGAGGCCTTGAATGGGTCCTGAAAATTGCTTATACTTTAGATGCTGTCTTTGTCAGCAATAGTTAAAAGAGGCAGTGAAGCACATTTATTCTACTTACCACACTAAGCTATTCTCATTTTTTGTCATATCATAGATGGCTGGAGGCTATGGATAAAGCAGTGCATCCTGTCCATCAGGTAATGCTTTATTTATATGAGAAGCATATATATACCAGATTGTGCAGAAGACTGAGAGACAGTAGATATATTTGTATATGGTCAAATGCAGATAGTAATGTGGAAGCTGCATACTTTTTTCTTCTGGGCTGCTGGGTCATGAGTCAGCTTCAATTTTAAAGCCATATATGGACATTATTGTGTAAATATGCTTTGCTGCCATATAGTGAAATGAATCAAAATGTTCCCTTTTCAGGTATCAGCTGCTTTAAGCTGGTTCAGAAATGTAACCTAAAATGAAGGTATTGGTAAGGGAGGAAGGGGAGAGATGATACAACCACATGTTCTGCCCTAGGTAATACTATTTGGAGTAGAGGGAGAGAAGGGCTGTGTATTCTTAAATACGCCCTGCAATTCTGCCTTGGTTACAAGCTACTTTTTTGTGACAAAATATTAGAAAGAGGAGGAGGGGGTGGGGGGTGGGGACTGCTCAGTTCTTCTTTTCCATATTTTCAGAGATGAAGAAAGAAAGTTAGGTGATCAGCTTTGACTTACCTCCCTATCTCTTTATACAGCAGTCTCTGTTGGCCCCTATAGCTGGGAGAAACATAGCCATAACTGATCTTAAGCTGCTACAGAGACCTTGCTCAGCCCAACATAATTTACTATGAATAGTCCCTGGCTGACCCCTGAACTGGGAACTGTAAAGCTCATTTTAGTACTTCCAGGGTTGTAACCATATGGGTCAAGTCCACTTTAGCCTGCTCTTTCCTGGCTCCCATGATTCTTATTCTTTCCTCTGTGCTACTGCATCTTATTTTTGACTGCTTTATCTTTTTTAGTTTTGTCTTTGAGCAAACTATCCTTTTCTGAAAGCAATATTTCATTTACTATGTCATTTTCATTGCCTAACTCCTGCCTTCTAACTGGACTTTCCATTCAACTGAATAGAAAAGGTTTATATTTTCCTACTTTTCTTTTTGTTATTTTTTTACAATAGCTAGTGTGTTACAGTAGGGTTCACAACACAGTGATTTAACAGACCAATATATTGATACTATGTCATCTTAATGAATCTACAAATACAAATATTTTATGAATACAGTTACTATTATAGAAGGCCTCTTCTGAACTTTCCTGCAGTAAGTCTCAGCAGGTTTCCCATTCATAACAAAGTATACAACTAGCTATATTGTGCCAGGTCTTTTTTCCGTCATTGCCTTCTCAAGGATACTAAAGAAATATAAATAAATGCAAAAGAAAACCCCCATGGAAACAAACATTTTGCTACTGATACTGCCTACATTCTCTCCATGGATTTCAAATGACAAGGCACTGGTTGATGTAGAATCTGAAACATGTATTACAGATAAGCAAAACACACTAGGAGAGGCTGAGTTCCTAACAACTGTCAGATTTAAAGAAAAATAAATGCTTTAATCTCACGTTATGACAACTTCGTCTTATTAAACAACAGTTTATTTTTTCCTGATTCTTTTATCATACAAATAGCCCATACAAGGGCAGTGTTTCATGGGTTGAGCTTTTTCTTCACCTTTAAATGACAATAGGATAATTTGAGTAATGAAAAAGATTCTGCTTTACAGAAAGGGATGGGAAGGCATCTGTAAACATTTTGTGTGTGGTGCTTCCATCCAAGTCTGAGTGCTGTATTCTGGCCTCAGACACCACCACATGTTCTCTGAAACCCAGAGGGTAGATGATGAACCTTGTCTTGCCAGATTACACACAGTAAAGACTGCTGAAGTTAATCAGCAAGACATTTTTTTTTAAAAAAAGCTTCTTCATACAGCTTTGAAATAATACTGTCTATACCAGCAAAATTGTACTGAAAACCAAAATAGATTGCAGAAAAGACAAGTTAGTATTGTAAGAAGAAAGTAGAAATTTGTCACTATTCGCCATGAAATATAGGTTTTTCTAATTGTATTTTCAGTGTTGACTTTTCAAATTCATGATGAAAAGTAGTTTCCTACAAGGGACTAGAGCTTGTGTCTTTTCATACTAGTAGGTCTTCCTTAATTTCTTATGAGAACTTTTCATTTATACACTTACTTTACAGAACCACGTGTGGGTAGATGTCACACTGCATAACACTACACTTCCACCCTTGGCTATCAAAAACCCAGAGTGCCTGGGGCTTCTCCACCAGCTGGACAGAAGCAAGGACATCTGGATTCAGCACTACTGCATTCTGAAGGATGGCTGTTTGTACTTTTATGCCACTCTCCGGTCTACACCTGCCCAGGGTAGGGATGGCTGCTGGATTTTAACTGATTATTAAAGCAGAAATGTTCTGCAGTTCACAAATAGAACTTTTACCATTAATGAGTTTCTTACCAGCAAACTCACCCTGTTCTGTGAAGGTGAGTGAAGTAAGAGCAGAATCAGTCTGTTTTCATAAAATAGCCACTTTGTTCCCCTCCTTTCCTTTTCCTTCCATGGTTTGAATTTTTTTCTCTGGAATGGACCTAGTCAGTATCTGTACACATTACCTCAGGAACAAGTATCAGCTACAACATCCACCCTTCCAAAGGACTTTAAAGTGGCTTAAGTCAATGACACGTATGGGAGTCTGCTGAAAGCTGTTGACTCCTGCATGTTAGTTAGCATCCTCGGAGGGAAGGACATCATAAACTCAGACTGAGTTCTCTGTCACTAGCAGGTTTTAACATGATCTTGACAAAACTAGTCCACCCTACAGGCAGTATGTCCCTACTCCAGCAGAAACTGATGCTCCAGGGTGTGGCCATGGTCATTTGCAGCAAAAGCTTCCATCTAGCAGCTCTCCCCATACCAGAAGAGTGTGGTTACTCTCTGAAAGCAGCAAACATGAGGTTACCAGGGTCAACTGCAAGCAGAGAAGCTGAGTTTCAAGCACTGAGGAGAGCATTCAAGCACAACTCTATGGAAGTCAGTATTTTTAAAAAGTGCCCCAGGGAGAGGGGTAAGTCAGGACCTGCAAATGCTCTCTTCCTGTGCTAAGGAAGTTAGCAGTTAGAAGAATCAGAAAGAAAATGCTGTCATACCTATGCTTACTAGCCAGCTTTCAGGTCAAAAGAAAAAACTGTTTTCTTAAGGTTTATGGTATTTGCCACATGGTCAGGCAAGAGGTATTCCACTTTATAGTCTACACCTTCTACATAGCACTTTTCATCTGTCAAAGGTCATACATCTGATATTCTCTGCATGAAAATGAAGCTAAGATTTGCCCAGAGCTAAGCAATGAATTAGTGGAAAGGCAAAAATAAGTCTTGTGTGTTGATGACACCCATGCCTATGCTCCTACTGCTAAATGTTACCCTGGTATTTAAATATCCTACTATGTACTATGTACATATTCTTGTACAGAGTATGGGTTTTGCTTTTGTTATTGCAACTGCTTTTTCCAACTTCCCTACAGATTCTCACACCGCCATATCATTCTCAATGTTATAGCATTAATTTGATGCTCTTGTCACTAAATGTGAGACTCCCCCAAAAAATACAGACCCTGAAGACAATAATGGCAACATTCAACTGCAGTTAATAGCTCCACAGGTATTTTTGGCTATTCACCATGTATGTATAAAGTGAACACATTGTTGCAGTGAAATGAGGTCTGGGAAAAAAAATAATCTAAACAACTAAAATCAAAATGTCTTGAAGAAGAAATTCCATCTAATACTTTTCCTTCACAGCTGGCTAGTGTGGCCTGCAATGATGTTCCAGTTACTAATGGCAGCAAGGGAACCAGTGATGGCTCTAGGATTTTTTTAATGTTGAAATTCATATCCCTTAAGATTTAAAGGAAAGAAAAATATCAAAAGAAAAATTTTTTGTCACATCTTAATTAATGAAAAGCAAAATATATACTGCCTATATTTATAATATATATTATATATATACACTGCTGATCATTTGCTAGACTGGAAGCATGTTTTACACTTCTTTCAAATCGATTTTTAGAAAAAAAACACCAAATTTTCACATTTTTAAATACTCTACATGTAAATTCTTTACAACCCTGTTGAAACATCCAACAGAAGGCACCTGAAAATCCAACTTGCAAGAATTGTTTGTATGCTTGTAATTGGCAATAATTTCATAAATGGTATCTGCAATATAAGTGATGCATGCTATTTTATTCTGTCCAGGTGGCCTTTACCTACAGGGGTATGTTGTGAGTGAGCAGCCTCTGGGCTCCAAGAAATCTGTAATTGAACTCAAACCTCCATCTGAAGAATTTAAAACTTTCTACTTAAGTGCAGAGAATGTAAATGAAAACAAAAGGTAAATCAAACTTTTTTTAAAGTTTTATTTGCCACACTTCAGGAGTGCAGGAACACTATAGCTTGGGAAGATTTAGTGACAACTTTTCATTCTGTTTTCATTTGTTCCCTCAGATTTCCTTTTAATTGTGACTTTAGTCAACTTTTTGCAGTACAAAATGTTGGCACAAGTGAGTCATCAGTTCTGCTATTGTCAGTGCTGGAACTACAGCAAGGCTGGCTTGCAGAGCTTGATAAAGAAACCTGGATAAAGTGCCTTTCATAATGATATGTGTGTGACTACACTAAGCAGAAATGCTACGATACCTCTCATTAGAGACAATGGAAAGTATATCCTCATTCCCAAGAATGACTGACTTCCAACAACAGCCATTAGAATTAAAAAAGAAAATTGGCCTATGAAATCAAGTTTGGGGTGAATTCCCTCATCATAAACAGCCAAATTCCACTGCTGTGAGTAGGAGTTCTTATCTAAAGCCTAATAATTACATGATTTGGCTTTTGATTTAATGAACAAAGGACAAAGCTTTTCTGTATGTTGGAAACCGGTGTTAAGATTTGGTTTTATAGTCAACTCCTGTATCTCCTGCCTTTCTCCAATCCATTTACTATAAGCATAGATAGTAATACAGCTATACAAAAACTGTTTATAAAAAGCATATTTCAAATAATATAAAAACGCATGCATAAAACTTGATCAGGGACAGTTGTTGGTCTTTCATTTCTTCTAGGTGGATTACAGCTTTGAAAGCTTCAATTAATAAATGGTTACCCCTACACCAGGCAATCCAAGATTTCATGAACAGACCACAGGAGGAGACAAGGATGTGAGAAGAAAGCTAATTTTTTCCCCTCAACTTCTGTTTTCCTTTAAAAATTCCATGCTATGTCTTATGATTCATCTCAAAAAATGCTCTAGCAGCAGGTAATCTTGAGCATTGCTATACATTCACAACTATTCTAAATGTTAGTAAATAAACATAATATTGCCTTCTTTGTGACACTCTTTATTTTGTGTTTCTGCTTCAACTCAGACCATACATAAAAGCCTGCTTTACAGCAGTGAACTGATATCAACATTTATCTGACGCAGGCACAAGAGAAAGCACTGTATTTCAAGATATCTTTTGTACTTCCCAATGTTTTATATCTGCACCTTTTTTTGCAAATACACCCTTAGCAAAGACTTCTGCTTTACCATCAAGAAGTTTCATATATGGGTTTGCCTTTAAGTTTCTAGGTGGTGTGGGGCTGTTTTGCCAATTATTAGGCCTAGCATAAAGGACACAGCCAGCATAAAGATAAACCAATAACCAAATTGTCTTTGATACAAAAAGGTCAGTACATGGGTGAGCACTGGAGTTATACAAACAAGTCAGTCAGATTGTACATAATTGACATCAGTCCCACTGACCCCAATAACAACACAACAATGGGCAGAACAAATGGTGAAATGCAGTTTCCCATAGAAGGGACAGGAGACAACCAAGTCAACAAACCAAACACATAAGACCAAGGAAGCCACATACTGAATCTCTACACAGTCCATGTTTACAAAAGCCAGATCTGACTGGAGCCCAGTCCCAGGGAGGCAGGAGAGCCTTCCCCAACAGGAAACTTTACACAGTGCATCCACCTCACAAACAGACACTGCCCCTTCCTGCAAGTGGTCCCAGCTTTTATCCCTAAGTGGGACACCTGACCCTTGTTTACTCAATGCAGACACCTGGGGCTCATTTACCTCATGGCTCTGTCTGCAAGGCCGGCTACACCCTGGAGGGAAGCCTAAAGGCAAACTCACACCCTCTTTGTGAAGGGCTATGGGAATCACACATATGTCAACCTTAATTTGGGGCTTGGGGTTGAAACCCCAGCTGTGACAGGCTGGGCTGAGTGAAAGATTAGCAGCTACATAACTATTACAGCACGCCTGGGGGAATGGAATAAATTTATATGATTTGGATTAATACTTTTTGTATATTCTATCAACATAAATTTTAATTTTACAGTGGTTCTGGTTTAACCATCTGCAATCACAGTACAGCACATTTGTGGGTAGAAATCAATTAAGGAATCAAAGACACTGTTTACTCCAAAGTTAGCAGTAAGAGACAGCATCATAAATGTTCATCGAGGATATCAGGGTTAGACATCTGTGGTTATTACAGCTGGTCATATACATAGAGTTTGACATTATTAATATTAAAATAATTCCTCCCGTGAATAAACCTGGGTATTCAGTTTCCAGGTTTCCCAAAATACTAATTCAAGTGAAGCAACAGAAGTTAGTTCCATTTATTTATTGAAGACACATGCTAACTAAATATCTCATCCTAAGAAATTTACAATTTAATGCTGCAGCAAAGTACAAAAAGGAAAACAATATGCATCCAATACAGACAAAAAAATTACCAGTTTGTGAGATTTTATTACAAAGTCTATGATACTTGGTCTTATCATGGTCCTTAGATCTTTTGAACACACCAGAACCTCAGCTACATGCTTGCTCTTGTTAGACTGAAAATATCGATTGAAATGCCATAAAAAGCTAAAAAGCAAGTGGTGCTACCCCAGCCACTACAAATGTAACTTTTTAGGAGATCTATTCATTAACTTCAGATGCTTGAAGTAATTGTACTTCAAAGAAAGCTGTTAAACAGTTCAAATGGTTTGTTACAGTGATTTGAGTGATTTAATTCAAAAGTAAGAATGGTTAGTTGAACAGTTGTAAACAATTTTTGGAAAACAGGCACCCAACCCCAAATATGTTAACACTCTTGTTTTGTATAAATCGGTGCTCTGAGGTAAAATGTGCAACATTTAACAAATATAAAATGTATTTGAAAAGAAGCAGTCATCTTAGTCATGTACTACATTTACTGCTAGTATTTTGAAATTTTCATATGCAGGAATGAAATTCATATTTCTGCTACAACCCTCAGAACAAGTAATGAAGTAGGTATAAATTACTTTCTCACACTTTTCCACTTTGAAGAAAATAACACGTATGAGTGAAATACAAGTGCTGTTGTCCTGAGACTAATAACATTTCCTAAAGAACAGTTATCCAATTCACAATGACAGTTCAAAGCTAGGAAGCAGAAAAATAAACAATTTAGAATGGCAGTTCAGAGCTAGAAAGCAGAAAAACAAGCAATAGTAAAAAAGATTCAAACAGAAAGAAAGACAACAAATGTTCTTCTCATTAAAAAATCCCAGCCAACTAAACAAAAACAACCAACACCAAAATCCAAACTGCGAATATTAAATGAGTCACCCCATGGGATCCAGTTGCTTCTTCAGTTGTTACTGGCTTACTCAGCACATTTTTTCCTTTAACAAGTGCCACTTGCAGCCATCATCAGAGAGAATCACATGATTAACAAATATCTTGTTTACATAAACCTTTGAAGACACTTATGATAATGACATATGTGGCACAAAGAACTGACAGCAAAGAAAGATTCAATAACCTCAATAGCAGGGTTCAAAAAGAATTGAGCTGTTCAATGGGAGTAAAGGTTGTAGTATATGGTCTTTTATTGTCTCACTAAACTGTCATCATTATAATGTGCTTAATATAGTTATTTTCCCCATAATTACAATAACTTCCAAAGTATATTAGTGTTACAGTAGCAATTTGTGCTTTATTCAGTGTTATAAACAACAAACATGAAAACTTTAAAATGTATGTAATTTCTCTGATTTGATGCAAGTCAAAATTGAATCAAAAATGCCACAAGTGTACACCTGTAAAAAATAGAATAAACTCTTGTTTCTGTTGTAAAACTGTGTATTTACACACAGACTTCTTGGATCTCTTTGCTTAACTCGGTATCATATCAGCAGAATTTATTGAAAGCTTTTTGTTTAATGGACTTGATTTGTCTTTCTTTTCTATGATTTTATACTGCCAAACTCAAATAAAATACTAAGGTGTAAACGTAAACATTTCTGAAATGACCATAAACTTTTAAAAATTACAAAATAGGTAAATTCTTTCGGAAAAAAACAAACAAACAAATAAACTATCAGGCTTTGGAATTATCTAGTTTCTAACCCAAGAAAACTGAGGAGGAGCCAAGCTTGCTACATTTATCTGAAACAAGTCTGGTTCCTTTTTGTACATCTGAGAAGAGATCAGAGTAGCTTATGGGCTGTTCTCATTTTCCTGTGAAGTAGCTATGATCCCCATAGAGGTAGGCTGCCATCCAGTCATTTTTTTAACACACTTCATCTCATCCTGTTATTATCAGGACCAAAAGCACTTTGAAAAATATACTGAGGTTTTTCCCTCTGTATGTATCAATAGCACGAAAATTGTCAGAAGAGGAATTGGGAAGTTCTCAATCCTCACTACCATAGCTGCTTTTACTGTTATTTTTAATGGGTATTCACACCACTTCTTGGACCATGCTTCTAGTATGAGATAAAGTTCACTCAGCTCGGCATACATATGACTACAGGACAAATGTTAGTCATGGTCATAAAGTCGGCTATGCCTTTTAAAAAAAGTTGAAGTGAGATTGTTAAATCTAATCCCTTCTGTAAAACAGCCAGATAGTGTTTGCTGTAGTGAACCACTAATTGGTCTCTTGTCTCTAGTGAATGGTCATTTTTCGAGTCATGCAATAATGTCTCCTGAAGGTAGGAGAGAGCCTAACAAAAGGATACCCAGATAGCTCACTTACCCTTCAGTATCCTGAGCAGCTAATCCAAATAACTTTTATACAAGAGGAAATGTTATTACACCAAGTGCAGAGAGAAGTGGTGAAGATGTTTTGGGTAAGGCTTTTGTGGAAGAAAGTAAAGAAACCTAGATCTATTGGGCTGTGAAAGGGTAATGCACCAGATAAAGCAGTTATGTGATGGAGAAATTGCAGTTGTTAAAAAGAAAAAAATATCCCTTTCATTTATTGCAAGGCAAACTTAGTACCTATAATGTACTAAAGTTACTAGATGGTAGACCTTGTTAAATGTGGAAGCCATTTCTAATTCTTTTAACAAGCTTGTGTTGCAATTCCTTCAAAACAAAACATGGAAAACAAAACTGGGGTAAGCTACTTCACTGCTGTCTCAAATCAGGAAGGGATCAGTACAACTCTGAAATCTCTGTATGCCAGTATCCCACTATACCGGGTTCGCCTGAACTGGAATTGGTTTTCCCCTATAGCGGCCCTCACGGTGCTGTGTTTTATTCTGGGAGCTGGCAGGGTGTTGATAGCACCTTGGTGTTGTGGCTACTGCTGAGCAGTGCTTACACAGCACCAAGGCTCTTTCTGACATTTCCCCCAGTGGGACAGGGTGGGCAAGATCTTGGGAGGGGACACAGCCAGGACAGCTGACCCAAACCGACCAAAGGGATATTCCAGACCATATGATGTCTGGTCAGTATAAAGGTGGGGGAAAGGAGGAAGGGTGTGGGGTCACCCTTGGTCCTCCAAGGCAACCACTACGCATATTGGAGCCCTGCTTCCTGAGAAGGCCCGACATTGCCTGTCCATGGGAAGTAGAGACTAAATCTGTTTGCTTTTGCTTCCGCGCGCAGACTTTTGCTTCTCTTTGCTTCTATTAAAACTGCTTTTGTTTCACCAATGAGAGTTAGTTTATCTCCTTTCCCCTCTTTACCCTGTTGAGAAAACAAGGGGAAAAGGAGGTGGGGGGAAGTGATAGAGCGACTTGGTGGATACCTGGCATTTAGCCAGAGTCAAACCATCACACCCACCATGGCTCATTTGTTTGCATAGAAGACTTTATATTTGTTATACCCACATTCAAGGCTTTCCTTTCACTGACAGGGAAAAAATATAACTGTACTGAAACCAGAACACTTCCATTAGCGGAGTATGATATTCCACTGAGAAGTAACTGGGACATGTACTTGAAGCTTGGTTTATTCAGATGGTTTGCTGCACCCCAAAGGAACACATTTTCTGTCCTGTTCAGCAGAAATTCTGTACAAACTTCTGTAAAGGGAAAGCCACAGAAGGTCACAAAGGCGTTTTCCACAAAGGGCTAAGTTATTTATCAGGAATCACTTTGAGGCCACAAAAACATTTTTGTGAAGTGCGTAACTCCCTTTTGTAGCATGTTTCTAAAGGATGAGAGTGTTGAGGTTAGTTTTTCACTCTCTTTCTCCCAGACCCTGGAATCTCATTTAACAGTAGCTGAAAGTCATTTTAGCGGAAAATACTGAATTTTGCTGAGTTTATCCACCTTTCCAATACAGCAATATGAGATACATATTAGCCAAAGCCAAAACATTGCAGCACTCTAGGACAGAAATCTGACTTTGCTGACACATGAACACATGCCAATTCCCTCCCTTGGCATTGTGCTCATTCACAGGATGACTTGCTAATTTTACCTAAGCAGAGGGGAAAGATTTCAGCAATATGTAGAATTTCACATCTCTTATTCAAGATGATCTTCTCAAGGGCAATTTATGCTAGCCAAGACAGATACTTCATAACAAAAAAAAAAAAAAGAAAGAAAAAAAACAACCCTGTGCTGATAGAGCCAGGAAATACTGTTATTTTTCCGTGAAAAAAAATGTTGCTTTCATCTAAAGGTTTAATAATTTAGGACAAGGTCTTCTGTTAATGAAAATACACAAGAAAAATGTCCCAAAGTAATTTCTTAGTACTCTAGGTTAGCTAGAGGTTTTGAAAATCATATTTGGTGTATCATATTTGATATGTGATTACTAATAATATATTTATGGTTTTTAAGTAAATACTACGGGATATACAAGCAGTTACTGATTTTTATTTTTTTTTTCAGTCTTCTGTTGGATGTAGGCTGGGACTTTTCTTTAAATAGTGTCATTGCTCCAAATTCTGAAATAGGAAGACATGCAACTTTTTTTAGCTACACTATGAAGTTTTTAGATAAATATTCTTTCTTTAAAAGATAGCCTCAAATAATAAATTGAAAACCCTGATAAATCCCTGTAATTCCACATGTACCGTATAGCTGCTGAACTTGTAGCTGCCCTCAGGACTTTAGCAGGTGTACTATGCAGATTCAACAGTTTCAGTTCACTACTTTGATCTTCATTTTCACAAATAAAAATACATTTTCCTGACACAGGACAAGCACAACCAGTTGGCATTGCAATGGGTATCCTAAAATAATATGATGACAGATAATTGTACTCAGACCCAATGTTAACCAGTTATTTTACTACCTGTCAACTACCATGGGACCATTCTTACAATTAAGATGTTTTTTGCTACATGGGAAGAAATAAGAAAATTAGCTTTTGGGAAAGACAATTTCTCAGGGTAGCCCTTAAAGAATCCACAGGCAACTACTTCCCCCAGGTTGCACGTCACTGTCAATGAAGTGTGATTGCCCTTTCTGCACACCTGGAGTCCTTTTGCAGAACGACTAGTGGATGCACTGCTCTTGCATCTTCTTCCTCAGACTCCTCACCAGACTAGAAGGCCAGATGTGTCAATATGCCATACAGGGAAAACAGCATGCTTGGCCTGTTATGGACTCTCCATTGACATGAAACAGATTTATTCTTTTCAGTGGGAACAAATTATAACCAGTAAAACTCTGGGCATTTTGGTCTAGGATCCATACCAAGCCAGAGACCAGGTCTTTGATGCTTCTGTTCAACTGCATTTTACATTAAAAGTCTAGTGTTTGACAGTGATCAACAAGCATAGCCAATGATTTTCCAATGATTTAAGGAAATTTGGTATTATGCATGTTTTAGTCAAATCACACAGAGCAAAAAGACCACTTGCTGGTAGCCCGGTGAACTAAGCACTGAAAAAATGGTCATAAAATAGGTAAACCTTAATTAAGCAAATATCCTGAAATTTCTTCTCCAAATAAGCAGTTGGCATTGCTGCAAAGATGGTTTTGAAACACAAAAGGAACCACTAATTGAAGATGAGGCAGTATATTAATGAAGCTAAAATCATGTATCTGGAAAAGTATGTCTCTAAATTCATATCTATAGCACATAAGGGAGCAGGCATCAGAGCTAGTAATAACTGACTACTGGAACTAGCAGTACAGCCAGTGCAAGGCTGTATGACTGCTGGAAGCAAGGTCCAGTGGGACTCTATAGAGCACCACATTAAAGAACTAGCACACCAGCTTGAACTTTGTGTTTCTATGTAGGCTATAGATACCACAAGTTGTGGTTCGCAAATGAGTTTGAAAAACAGTCTAGATTTTGCCAACAAAACAAACCTCACTCTACGGAAATAGCAAAGCAGTCTGATGAGGGAAAGGGTTGAAGCAGTAAGAGCCACCATAAAGGCAACAAGTTTTCATGCTCAGTCTGTAACAACCCAAAAAAAACAGCCCTGGACAAAACTACATTCATTATAATCCACTGTCAAGGAGACAGAATGAAAGGTGAAATGAAGAACATCCTGACTAAGACCACAGTAAAAAGGTAGAAGAAAAAAAAATGTTGTCACCATTAACTAAATAAAGAGCAGCAGTGCACACAGTGACTGGATACACAAACATCCAATAAGAAAAGAGTGTGGTTATAGAAGGGATAGGAAAATCTGCCCAAGTTTGTCTTTAGATACTGCCAGACACAAGACAAGCTGGCATCCACCTGCACAGGTTGGAAATCATAACAAATACCTATAATGTCTGTAAAACTGAATTCCAGCCTCCTATGCCCTCGTGACTGTAAATACCTGTGCTAACAAAACAAACGTATACATATTTATCATAAAATCATTGAAAGGTTTCGGTTGGAAGAGACCTCAGAGACCACCTAGTTTCAACCCCCTGCCATGAACAGGGACACCTTCCACTAGACCAGGTTGTTCAAAGTCCCATCCCGACCTTAAACATTTCCAGGGAGGAGGCAGCCACAGCTTCTCTGGGCAACCTGTTCCAGTGTCTCACCACCCTCACAGTAAAAAATTTCTTCCTTACATCTAATCTAAATCTGGCCTCTTTCTGTTTAAAGCTGTTATCCCTCATCCTAACACTACACTCCCTGAGAATGAGTCCCT